GGGAAAAATTTCTTGAATTAAATGTATTTACCCTTAATTTAATTAGCTAAATAACATTATCTGCCAATGGAATTAGTATTTTTACTCTTAAAATAAGGTATTTAGATTAAATGCACAAATAAGACAATGCAATTGTTTCTTTTTCTTATTTTAAATGTAAATTGTCTTGTTCCATCGGCAGAGTGTCTCACTTACCTTCTCAATTCAAGAACAAATGCATCTAATTTAAGAAAAATTGACTTATCTAGATTTGAAAGTTTTCAAGTGAACAATAGATCTGTTTGGGATTATTTTATTCTTTTGCAGTGGAAGTTTTATGGTTCAGTTACGGGTGTCAATCTGAACTCCTCTGTACGCAGAAGCATTCAGTCGATGGATGTGAGGCAATCTGTTGATACAGCTGCAGCTTTGCCTGAACTGGGTCAGTCCAGTAATGAAGCAAGGCTTTAAAATTCCTCCACAGCCCGCAGAGAGAGTGATATCCAGCCTCAGCTGAGTGTTACATGCTCTAAAAACCACTGAATCCTGATGTCTAAATCGTTTTTTTTACAGCTGTTCTGCTTTGGCTTCTGTTTTTTTTAAATCAAAGGTTCCCAAAGTGGGGCTCTGAGCCCCAAAAAGGACGTGAGATTCTAACTCCGCGGCCGCAAAATGGTTTCCACCATAATTAAGATGCGATCCCCGAGATTTAGGGAGGGAAAAAAAATATCATGAAAAATATAAATGTACCATAAAATCAGCGGATGTGGAATTTATTTATTTATTTATTTATAATTTAAAATTGTGTCATTTATCTGTAAACAGCTGGAGGTCAACATCACCTATAGACCCTGATGGATAAGCAAAAGAAGATGGATGATTGGAGTTTTAAACATTAGATTTTGCAATGCTCCATTAAATAATCAAAATACATCTAAAATTATAAATTAAGTAATTAATCATAGAAATTTTAATTAAACCCTGATGCAGGGGTTCCCAAAGCGGGGGTCGGGACCCCCTGGGAGGTCGTCAAATATTAAGGGGGAGACATGAGATGGTTTTCCCCGATATGGAAGACCAGATAGGTCATAAAATACATAATTGCAATGTATTTCCTATAAAATAAATAAATTATAAAAAAAAGAAGATTTAAAATTAATTTATTTATATATGTACTTATTATTCAAGACATAATTCCAAAATATACCACTAAATTCAAAAGTGCAAAATTAAATAAGTAAATGTCCCCATAAATACTTTAAAGTGCAATTAAAATGATAAATTTAAATAATCAACAGTGCATTTAAACAATTAATATAAAATAATTAAATAAACCATCAAGTAATTCAAAATACCTTTAAATTGTGAATGAAATAATAAAATCTCCATTGAATAATTAGAATATCTATAAAATATTTATAAAATGATTCACTCTCCCGTTAATTTAATTATTATTAATTGTGTTTTCTATTAAATAGTTAAAAATTTATCTAAAATAAGGAATGAAAATATAAAATTTCCTATCAAGTCAATTAAAATTCAAATTAAAAGTCCAGAAATAATTAAATAATTAAAAATCAAATAATTAATAATAAAATAATGCACCATTATATAATCAAAATAGATGTAAAATGGCAAATTATATAATTCTACTTTATTAGAATAATACATTTATTTAAAAATGCAGTAAAACTGTGTATTTTAATGGGTTATTTTTATTGTTATTTTTGGGTCACAGTCTGAAATGTTCGGACCTCCTGTGGTACATTAATTAAAATCTTCAATTTCTAAACCTGTTGATCCTATTAGGGTCGACAGTAGGCAGATAACGGTGTTGCAGCTTCTGGAATATCATCATTTAAGCAGATGAGATTAATTAGACGTCTCGGTTTATAGTGAACATGATTGAAGGAAAGGAAACAAAGCAAGAAAGAAGAGAAAAAGGCTCCTGGTCCAGTTTTCAGGCTCGGTGGGGGAGGGATGATGATCTGGGCCCTTAGATTCAATAATCCGCGGCTGAACTGGGTCCCACACAGGAAAATAATCAAAATCTAGTCTTTTTTTCTTGAATTGAGGAGGCAACAGAGACACTTTGCCAATGGAACAAGATAATTTACATTAAAAATAAGAAAAAAAGTTCATTGTCATATTTCAAATTACCTTATTTTAGTAAAAATCCTCATTCCATCGGCAAATCATCTTATTTACCTACTCAAATTAAGGGTAAATACACTTAATTTAAGACATTTTGACTTATTTCTAGATCATTTTTGCAGTGCAGCAAAAAAATTCAACTGGAAAAACGATCTAGAAATAAGTTAAAATTTCTTAAATGAAGTGTATTTACCCTTAATTTGAATAGGTAAATGAGATAGTTTGCCAATGGAATGAGTATTTTTACTCTGATAAATAAGATAATTAGATAATAAGCACTTGAAATTAAACAATGCTATTCTGTTTTCTTTTTCTAAGTGTAAATTGCCTTGTTCCATTGGCAAGATGTCTCTTTTACTACCTTAATCCAAGAGCAAATGCACTTATTTTAAGAAAAAAATGACTGGTCTAGATTTTGATTTTTTCCAGTGCATCTGATTGGCTGAAAAAAGAAAGTTTGCTTAATGATCCAGTTCCAGTCGGATCGCAGCGTGTCTGAAGATGTTATGTTTTTATATTGCAGCAACAAATGTCTCAGAATGATGAGGTCATCTGGAAGACTGAATTATGGAATGGCCTTAGATTTTAACATGAAGTTGGTCCGTTTAGAAGGATGACGGTGTGTTTGGTGCAGTGGGGGTCGGATCGCATTAATCATAGAACCTGGTAAAGATTAGATCATTTTCATTAAACCCTGATTCAGGGGTTTCCAAAGCGGGGGCTGGGACCCCCTGGGAGGTCGTCAAATATTAATGGGGGGACATGAGATGGTTTTTCCCTGATATGGAAGACCAGATAGGTCATGAAAATAAACGTGCACTTCAGCGACAGTCTAGAAATGAGTAAAAGATTCTTAAAGTAAGTGTATTTAATCTTAATTTGAGCAGGTAAATAATGGATAATGGTAATTATGGTCATTTTTTTACTTTTAAATTAGATTATTAGATAATATGCACTTGAAATAAGACAATGCAATAGTTCTTTTCTTATCTTAAATGTAAATTGTCTTCTTCCATTGG